TATATGCTCCAGCTAAAATGAAGAGGCTGCAGCCGTATATAGGCTGCCTGGATTAGCGAAGTAGTTAATGATTTACATACTTAAGTAATACATGTGTCAACGAAGAATTAATAGCTATTTATTTTTATTTATTTTCCTTTGGAAATTAGTGAGTCAATCCAGTAATTCGTGAAAATCGACAAAAATTACAGCCGTCCACATACCATCGTACGATTTTTTTTTATATGAAAACTTTCCTTCTCTTTTGAAAGTCTAAACACAAAATATCATTGTTCGTGATAAACGTTTAAATTTACCTATTGTTTAGCATAGCTGACTCGCGACTATTTCTAAAACGTTTATTTTGGGACATCAAACAAATTACTGTCATGTAGATAGTTCTCAGTATGTAGGTATGTATGTGGTGGCGTGGTAATGTCTATGAAATGGTTTTTAATATGAATTTGACATCAGGGCTTATTCATGATCTTATGGAGCTTCTACTAAAACAATATTTTCTATTTCACCGGTTAAAATTGCTTGTCTAGCTTTAAAATTTGCCTAAAAATAGCGCACATATGTATTTAATACATTTCACGAGCTAGCGGCTTACAAGGCTGTAGGTATCTTAACCGTTACATGTTATTTGCCGCCTTGTGATCATTGACAGAATAACGCACTAATATGTAGTATGATGCGACAATTACAGGTGCTATGTTGGAGGCCACTACCTTTGAACCTAGTACAGACTTCAGCTCTTTCAAAGGCTTACAAAATAAATTATAAGGCTAATTTCTATTTGTTGTGGTTTTACTGGTGGTAGGACCTCTCGTGAGTCCGCGTGGGTAGGTACCACAACCCTGTCTATTTCTGCCGTGAAGCAGTAATGCGTTTCGGTTTGAAGGGTGGGGCAGTCGTTGTAACTATACTGAGATCATAGAACTTATATCTCAAGGTGGGTGGCGCATTTACGTTGTAGATGTCTATGGGCTCCCGTAACCACTTAACACCAGGTGGGCTGTGAGTTCGTCCATCCATCCAAGCAATAAAAAAAAAGTTTGTATTTGTACTATATCTATAAGAGAGAAATAAATAAATAATTATTATATTATTATTATACAACTAAGAGAAGGAATCGTCGACGACTACGTCATCGCGTCACCACGTTTTAGTATATGACAAAGGAAATTATCTTTCATCGAGCACGTTCGGATATTGTATTTCATTTTGCAAGTTTATAGTTGTTATTAGCTGGATTTGATTAGATTTTTTAAATTTTATTGCTTAAATGGTTGGACAAGCTCATGGCCCATCTGATGTTAAGTGGTTACCGGAGTTCATAGACTTAAACAACGTAAACGCCGCCACCCTTGAGACATGAGTTCTAAGTTCACAAGTTCTTTACAGAAAAACGGCTGCCGCACCCTTCAAATCTAAACGTGTTAGTGTTTCACGGCAGAAATGGGAAGGGTACTGGTAGAAGATACCTACTCGTGCAGACTCACAAGATGTCCAGCCACCAGTATTATGCAAATTATAATTTTATGGTTTTGATTTTATCACACTATTACTCCTTCACCGTGTAAGTCAATCGTAAACATTTGATAAATACGGATTTCATTACAAAAATAGGTAGGAGGAATTGACACATCGGTCAGTCATACTGTTAAGCGCTGGGGTTCGGGATAAATAAAAATTCTACCGAAGTACAAATTATAATTGTATTAACATTTAGAACACTTAAAACATTTTAAAATTCTCAATTCACTTCTTATAATATAATTCTAGGGATGTGGTATCGGCTATAAAAGCGTTGCAGAGATGGCACGCAGTCAGCCGGTCACCGTCCTCGTCAAACCCGTCGCTTGCGACGAAGGGCTCGACGAGCGAACTAACCCATAGACACAGCCCACTGAGTTTCTCGCCGGATCTTCTCAGTGGGTCGCGTTTCCGATCCGGTGGTAGATTCTGCGAAGCACTGCTCTTGCTAGGGTCAGTGTTAGCAACACTCCGGTTGAGCCCCGCGAGCTCACCTACAAACGTTAGGGCGAAGCTGAAATAGCCTCTCAAGGCTATCAGCATAGGTAGGAAAAAAAAAACACGCAGTCAGTTAGTAATCGGAACTACTCGAAGCGAACGGATCACCTGAAGCGAATTGAGAGTTGTAAAGTGTTTATTGAGAATTTTAAAGTGTTTGTGAAGTGTTTTAAGTGCTCTAAGTGTTGAATACCCAATCCCAGCGCGTAACAATATTATTAAAAATTAGAACACTTAGATATTATCAGTAAATAAAGTTATTCTGAATCNTGCTGATATTAACGAATCGGTACGATATGCCGATGCGCATCACATCGAGCAATATCGTGTATCGGCTGATATCGAAATATAGATTTCGATTCACGAATCGGTCCGATATGGCGATGCGCATCACATCGAGCAATATCGTGTATCGGCTGATATCGATATATAGATTTCGTGCGGGGCGATATCGGATTCAACGATATTGATGCGATATATAGATATTGAATCTATATACGATTTATATCACCCACTCCTACTGTTGAGCGCTGGGGTTCGGGATAAATAAAAATTCTACCGAAGTACAAATTATAACTGTATTAACATTTAGAACACTTAAAACATTTTAAAATTCTCAATTCACTTCTTATAATTCTAGGGATGTGGTATCGGCTATAAAAGCGTTGCAGAGATGGCACGCAGTCAGCCGGTCACCGTCCTCGTCAAACCCGTCGCTTGCGACAAAGGGCTCGACGAGCGAACTAACCCATAGACACAGCCCACTGAGTTTCTCGCCGGATCTTCTCAGTGGGTCGCGTTTCCGATCCGGTGGTAGATTCTGCGAAGCACTGCTCTTGCTAGGGTCAGTGTTAGCAACTCTCCGGTTGAGCCCCGCGAGCTTACCTACAAACGTTAGGGCGAAGCTGAAATAGCCTCTCAAGGCTATCAGCATAGGTAGGAAAAAAAAAACACGCAGTCAGTTAGTAATCGGAACTACTCGAAGCGAATGGATCACCTGAAGCGAATTGAAAGTTGTAAAGTGTTTATTGAGAATTTTAAAGTGTTTGTGAAGTGTTTTAAATGCTCAAGTGTTGAATACCCAATCCCAGCGCGTAACAATATTATTAAAAATTAGAACACTTAGATATTATCAGTAAATAAAGTTATTCTGAATCCGATATAAGCATTTCCTCATTTTTGTATGTTCTGATTTAGTTTTTGCAGCATTTCATCATCAGGCTTACAGTTAATACAGTTTTGTCCATTTCTTTTGATTGACTGTTGGGTTAGAAGATTCCCTTTTATAGTCCGGGCTAACAATCAAATAGTTTTCACAAAAGGTTACTTTTTTAATTCATTCATGACCATGGATACAGAGTCCTTCAGTCAAATAAAGGTAGCAATGTCACGATGTTTCCAAGATATCATTGTTAACTTTAACGGATTATGGTTTCAAATCGTAGGACTACGGACTTTTTTCAAATAAATAAACCTTCGCTGTAAAAAACTGCTAAGCAGTGATCCGCAATCACCTCGACGGTAGGGGGTAAATTAGTGCTGATTCGGTGCATCTACCGTAATTACGTACTAGTAGTATCTTTGATATTCGTTTCTGCTAGTCAACGGTAGATGGCGTTACTCTTACCAGCGCAACAATACTAATTACTGGATAAAAAAAGGTGTAATTCGGGCTACACTGCACAAATCAAGTAGGAGCTTACAATTTGACAAAAAAAAAAGACTACGCTTTCGAATTGTAGAGGTCGAAAGGGGCGGAATTATTTGAACAGCCTAGGTACTGGTGGCAAATGCGAATATCCACCACGCCATTTCGGATCCTACCGATCCACTAACGGTGTTTTTAGGTTTCTCAAGCACGTTCTCGTCGAACCCGTCGCTTGCGACGAAGTTCTTCGCGCATAAATGAACCCACAGACACAGAGCCCACTGAGTTTCTCGCCATATGTTGTCAGTGGGTCGCGTTTCCAATCAGGTGGTAGGCGGAAGCACTGTTCTCGCTAGGGTTAGTGTTAGCAACATCGTCAAGTTTGAGCCCTGTGAGCTCACCTACTTGTTAGGGTTACGCTGATATGGCCGCACAAGGCCACTAGCTTAGGTAAGAAAAAAATAAAGTATATCCACCACTGATTCGGATAATATTTTTTATTATTCGTCTCTGTAATATAAACGGATAAAAATAGTTATAAAAAAAACACGCTTTATTAGGAAGCTGATTTTATCCCGGTCAGAATATTGCGCTAAAGGAATAAAATTATTGTATTGTCTACATGTGAATACAATAATTAATAATTCGGGCGTCTTTAAGCTGCTTTCAAGCTAATTAGGTTGAAAGAATTCGTTACGTAGACAGATATAGGTTAATATAATAAAATCGCATTAAAAATGAATGCTCCTTGCCTTCGGTATCAGACGATCATAAGGTTAGTTTTATGGTGGGAAGTTACCATCCCTCATGAGCAACAGCAAAACGTAAGCAGTGTTTGCTGGTGACGACTTTCCAATGCTTCCCCAAATATCGCAGAGAACTATCGGGATATGAGCGAATCTCTAAGTAGGAGGTATACACTCTAGTCCGTAGCCGTAACGGGTAGTGCGATGGTAAAAATGGAACATATAAGTACACGATACAAACAAAACCAGACTGAGATTTCGTGTGATTGTCAACAATCCGAACGATCTTTTTTGCACCGAGTCAAATGTAAATAAACAGTATTTATCAATTGTTATTGTTTTGTTAAGGGGAGGAAGTGTAATCGAAGAATCGGCGACCGTACGTACGTATGCAAGTTCATAATTTACTTATAATTTATAAATTATTAAAGTTAATGCAACATTATAGGTTTCTAATTATTGCACATTTTAATAACGAACGAATGTCTTTTAATACATTATTTATTTTGATTTTTAAACATAGGTGCTATCGGTCTACCGAGAAAATGAGCAATTGCATTATTCGCTGTTAATTAAATTAAAACAATAAATAAAATATGCAGGAACATTATAATAAAAACTGTATTTTTTAAATATAGCATACAACAGTATCTTGATTAATTTAACTAACTTTCCACCCAGAGCTTGCAGTTACCTGCATTTGCTTATATGTCGTCAGTTCACTGTTACTGTAGAATCTGCATTTCTATACTTTGGTTTGTTGTGTGTAAATGGCAGATATCTGTATTTGATCATATGCTGAAAACAAAAAAATAATTTGTTTTATAATTTAGACCTAGATCTGTCTTTTTCAGGCTGTATACGTGGACAGCCGACTTATGTGATGTTCGGTAATCACTAGACATCACAAGATGAATGCCGCCGTCCACCAAAATACATGAGTTCGATATTTTAATTCCATTACTACAATAACAGCGAAACTGTCCTTTTAAGTCGAAACGCACGGGTGCTTGGCGGCGGTAATACGAATTTTAGAATATTACTTACTACATTATATTAAAAATAATTTATATGCCGTATAAAAAAAATCTGTTTAATACCATTAAGACCATTCGTCTATAAGATAATGCACGAAATAGGTGTAGGAAACATCCCCTATCAGTATTAATATATGTAACTAATATGTATGAGTAGTTAATGCATAGGCTAAAACAAACAGTCAAGCAATAATTTTAATCCTTTTCCAACATTCTTTGCGAATTCTCAAAAGCAGAACAAATCATGGGTTTCGATATGTAGTGTAAGAAATAACCTTCAATAGAATTCAACAAAGTTTTTAGGCTTCTTGTGTCTCCATATAGGAAGCTGCATCTACTATATCTATGGGTTCACCACTAAGAACGACCATGANATAGGCTAAAACAAACAGTCAAGCAATAATTTTAATCCTTTTCCAACATTCTTTGCGAATTCTCAAAAGCAGAACAAATCATGGGTTTCGATATGTAGTGTAAGAAATAACCTTCAATAGAATTCAACAAAGTTTTTAGGCTTCTTGTGTCTCCATATAGGAAGCTGCATCTACTATATCTATGGGTTCACCACTAAGAACGACCATGATCTATTCACCACAAAAAGTTTTATATTCCGTTATATTAATAATATCATCGAAATTAAAATTGAATACCTTGATTTGTCTCTTCATAGTAATACAAAATAATGTTATGAAATACATAACTAGAATAGGCCAAAATACTGGAATATTGAAAGCATCCACAAAAGTACAGCAGAAAGCTATTAAAGTGCTTTTGGTAACGGACAGCCAAAACTTGAATTCTGGTAATCGTCTAATGAATGGTCTAAATTCTTCACTAGCTCTGGTAGGTAATGCAGGTCCGTTTTCATCATCTGTGGGCAAAATAATTAAAATAAATTAACTCTTCGATATGCTTTTAGAAAATCAATAAAAAAACCATTCGAAATTTCACGTTTTATATAATGAAGTCTATGGTTTCAATTGTAAATTATGTCGAGGGGTGAAAGGCTAGGTTTAAAGGCTTCGTCAAACAGAACGCGTATTTAGCGCTGCGTTTTAACGTCGCGCTCTTTTCATGACACACAAATTGACTAGATAAGCCCAACGCTCCTTGACGCAACGTAACATCCGCTAAATAATAGTGCCTTTCTATAGCAATCTGAAAATTTTAAAGTATTAAGATGTCGAGTGATTCATATGTGGCATTGTATAAGCATGGGTATTTTCTAATTCTAAATCTAAATCAATTTTTCGGGCATTATCCAGTATTTTAATACACATTCACTCGGACGCAAAAATAAAATTTGTAAAAAATTACAACGCCTGATGTCAAAGCGTTGCGTACTGCTAGCGCTGGCGCTCTGTTTGACAGTATATTACCATAGTAGACAACACATTTCGGCCTCATAGCGCGCCGTCAGTTTAGAGCTCTGACGCGCGCTAAGTACGCGTTCTGTTTGACGAAGCCTTAAGCGACATGTCGCTTAATAACATTTAATTAAAGGTACGTTTTATTTGGTATTAGTATCAACAATGGATGATTCTAATTGAATTTCAATTAAGTTTACTCTACTTAAATAGCTGAAGAAGTAATTTTTTTAATGATATTTTTTCTATATTATAAAACCTCTCCTGTAAAGTTGCCAAAATGTCGCTTAAACTTAATAAGCCTTTCGCCCTTCAATTTTTTACATGTATTTAAAATTTAAAATTATGTGAGTAATAACAACAATCCGGCTGCATTAAAATCACTAGCAAAAGACCGAAAATAAATAACAAATATATTGTTGTACATTTTCTTCGGGTTTCTTTAGTTCTCGCGGTTCGTAGTGATGATTAAAACTACTTTTACGTTTTTGAGGTTTGCAATAATTTAGTTTTCTTGGTCACAGACTGTAAATTTCGTATTCGAAACGTTGAATTTTAAATGACTATAAAAAACGCGGGATTATGTAACCGAGAAACCAGTTTTCATTAGACATACTCTACCTAGTCCAGCCATAAGGCTGTCTGTCCACCGGAGCGGAGCAACGGAGTCAGGCGGAGCGGAGTTGCGTACTGCGTCTGTCCACCGGAGCGGTGCGAGGCTGCGGAGCGGAGTGAGAAAGTAATGCGGAGCGAAGTTCAGTACCTACGCGACGAATCAGTTCGCACTTGCTTCCCCACTTCGCTGCCTCATTCCGCTTACCGGTTTTGTATGACCTCGCTTTGTATGAAACTAGTTCGCAATTCCCTGTCCATTAAAGAGGAGCGGAGATTTTGTACAATCTTATTGGTTAATATTTCTCCTTTTCTCTGCTCCACTGCCTCGCTCCGCTCCGGTGGACAGGCAGCCTAAGTTCTATTACAAATGAAAATGCATTTTTTTAATGAAGTTATGTAATATTATTAATACTAGACGATGATCGATCGCTAGATCGATTTATCGCCCCCGAAATCCCCTGTATACTAAATTTTATAAAAATCGTTGGAGCCGTTTCCGAGATTCAGATTATATATATATATATTTAGACAAGAATTGTTCGTTTAAACTTTAAAGGTATAAGATTTATACCTACATATTTATTAGTATTAGCAAAAAAAATCTATTCGAAATAGCCAGTTTTATACAGGCCTTTAATCTGTTTGGCCACGAATTTATGGATTTACGCAGTTTCCAAGGGAAATTACGTCACTGCTTGCTGCAAAGATTTTTTTAACAGACTCAATGTCGCCGTGTCGTTTAGAGCAGACCATGTCCTCTAATACTGACTATAATTTGAAGTCTAAAGGGTTCAGGTCTGGGCTAATTGAGGGCCAGTCTTCAGCTCTTATAAAGTCTGGAACGTTGGTTTCAAGCTGGGCTTGGGTAGTTCGTGCCTGGTGACCAGGTGCAGAGTCCTGCTGGAAAGTCCACTGTATATTTTTAAAGTGTATTGTTGAGAGGTTTCACAACATGATCCAAGACTGTATCTTGATACACTTTGGCTGAAGTTTTCACTCCTTTTGTAACAAAAATGTAGTTTTGTGACTCCTTGATAAGACAGGTCCCACCAAAAAATAACTGACGCAGGATGATGACCACGTTGTACCTTTCCGACAACTTGAGAAGCTTGTTTAGAACTGTGAGCGTACACTTTATCATTTAACTTATTTTAGTATTCTTCAATCGTGAAAATGTTTTCATTGGTAATGAAGATATTTCTGTGCCTTTCTCCCTGCGTATCGCGACAAAAGGCGTTTTGATCGATTCAATTTATTTCATTGTAAAGATTGATTTAGGGCATGTCGTGTATATCGACGATAAGCACCGAGCTTCGGGCCTTTGTTTTTAATACGCGACAGAGTCCTGGCGAGAATCTTGATTTCTCGCGATAAGATTTTTTGGTTCCTAATGGGGTTTCGACGGATTCTGGTTTTAACAGCATTAACACCCTTTGTAGTTCTAACAGCACGCGGCCGCCCCGATCTTTACTGGTCTTCGACAGACGAAGTGTTGTTGTATCTATTGATAGTACGATATACGAACATAGGCTGATGCCAAGCTTTCGAAGTGTCTGGAATATGACCGACGGCTCTATACCCACTTTGTGCAAGGTGATCACTGCAATCCTATTTTCTTTATCACCCCATTCCATACTTTATTTTGATAATGAGCACGAAAAAATAAGTGAAATGATGCAAAAACGAAAATTTTTAAAATACGTGTTGCAAATTCAAAATAATTAAAATGTTGAAAAAAAGATAAGTTTTTATGTAACAGTATAGGTATATGGCCAGACTATTTTTAATATAAATACGACTTGTCAGAAATCTTCAAACGCTTGAAGGAGGTTACACGTGACGCTCATATAACGAAATCCTGAGACCCTGTTCGTAACAATATTTATATACGTTCGAAAAACTGCCCTCCTCCTTTTTTCCCGCGGTGCACATAATATTTTTTCTCCTACCAGGCCGAAAGTTCGTGGAGTACACAATTTAACTGTTTTTTAATTTTTAAATAAACTACTACTAATTGAATAAGAACTGTCTGATGAACTCATCTTTGTTTAATACATCACTATTAAATTTTATTGCCTTTTGTTTATTTTACTTTTACACTAAACACAATATTGCAAATTACCCGAGCACAACAATGGCGGAGAATTTTAGGTGCGTGAGAGCAGACGTAGAAACTAACGCGCATGCGCACTTGTACCCAGGGATGAAAAGTTACACTTTCTTCTCTGTATAGCGGGAGGAAATCCGAACTTTCGGCGTAGGTAGGAGCAAAAAAGTAATATTAATATTGAATTGGTATGGTAGGTATTGTATTTGATAGGCATTAATTGGCACACTAGGTATATTTCTTTCACTGACTTACCATCTAAATCCATAGCAGGATCAATTTTCGGCGTTAAGAATGCAATGAACAAGTTTAAATGGTAAATACCCAACGCATATGTGACAATATACCATCCCTGAAAATAGAATGAAATATTGATTAGTGATGAGTCGAACTCATACGGCCGAACGTCACGAGGCCGAAGTCATACGGTTTTGTTCAATTAGGTTTTTGTTATTTGGTTAATTTTCGGTATTGAGAGCTCACTGCTCCCTAGTTTCACTTTTGTCAGAGAGTAATAACTAGATACCCAGTGTCTAATATGGGTGAAATCGCTAAGATCATAGACAAGTGGTTTTTTTTTGTTATTCATTAGACGAGTGGAAGAGCTCAGAGCCCGCCTGGTGTGAAGTGGTTACTGGAGCCCATTGACATCTACAACGTAAATGCCGCCACCCACCTTGGGACATGAGTTCTAAAGTCTCAGTTTTTACAGTACAACGGCTGCCCCATCCTTCAAGCCGAAACGCATTACTGCTTCACGACGTAAAGAGGGTGGGTGGTGGTACCTACCTATTAACTGTATTGGCTATAAAAAACGTGCGCAATTCAAATGTGAAAGTGAAACCTTTAAAAGTATTATATTTTGTTCTCGCAAGCTAGATTCTATATATAATATGTACACAGATTGGTTGACTTTTTGGTGTCCTTACAAGTTTCAAATCAAAACGGTGCTAAAGTAATATTCATTTCAATAAATGAACAAGCCACTATTATTATACTATATATTTTATTACATTACAATAATATTTACAACATATTATTATTACAATAATAACATGATCGTTACTGTTGAGCAAGAGACAAGTTTATCACACATGCTTAATTTCAGAACGTTCCTATGGGGGAGGATGTTGTACAGTCACAAGGTCATATCATCACTGATAATGTGTCGCCGATGCCGATGGCACACAATTTTTTTTGTATTAAGGGATTTCTGTTTACCCGGAGTCCTTTCAGCTTCACCAGGATTGGTTTTATAACATAACCATTAAGTCAAAAACACAAAAATAGCATTAATAATGGTACAAATTAAAATACTTACTTGTTTAGTAATTATGCGGATAATAAATGCAGCCATGACCAAGGCACTTCCAACCCACCGTGTCTTTGCGTGAGGGGTCCATCTGTCTAATGTACTCTGATAAACCTATTAAAAAGGATTATGCAGATCATTTATATACATATCTAATTTACATTCAAAATCCGATCCATTAGTCATATTTAAATTGTACATTCTGATTCAAAGAGAATTCATTCATTAAGTCATTATTGATTGTACTGTGTAAGTTTATTCAACCTTGTTTGAATTCAGTTTATAGTGCGAATGGGCTCAGGCAATCATTTAACACAAAGTGTCATTTTTTCATTTTATCATATTGATCATTTACTTACATCTTTATAAATATAATAGCACTGTGTATGTGTATGATGTGGTGTGAACATTTCCTAAAAGGCTGGACCAATTTTGATGGATTTTTTTGTGTGTGTACACGGAGTTTATTGAGTCTTTGTGCTAAAACTATATTTTTTCACTATTTTCAAATGTGATTTCACTAGTTTGAAAAAAGATTGAAAGTAGTTATAGTTTAATGTTTTTTAATCATTATTTGGTTGAAGAGGTGGCTGTCCACCTGATGCTAAGTGATTACCAGAAACGACAGGCATTGCAACATAAATGCCAGTTTTTCCAAATCAATACTTGCTTTGTATTGTACAATTTATACCAAAATTGCAACTTTGGTAAAAATGGTTTTATACCAATTTTATTATTGAACGTATATGGCACTGCACCACTATAATCCTCTTATCGTGCTTGTAAGCTTGTAAGCTTTCCAAGCACCATTCTCCATTCTCATATTGCAATAAACAATGAGAAGAGCAACCTATCCAATTGCATTTCTTGCCGAATCCCCTCACGGATCCTCTCATGGGTCACGATTCCAATCCGGTGGTAGATTCAGGGTAGCACTAACCTTGCTAGGGCTACTAGTGTTATCAATGTTAGCAGTGTTTATGCGATATTGTTAAAATTTAAGTTCATATCCACCAAATAAAAATGCATGAGTAATTTGTGGCAGATTTATGTCAGTACTCTTGTTTGCCCTAGTTTCGTGCAAGTTCATGACTCATCTGGTCTTAAATGGTTACTGGAACTCACAGGCACTGTAACATGAACGGCACCAGAGTGTAGTATCATCATACAGAACTGACTAAAACTTGTGAACTATAATAATTTCAGGCATATTGGAAGGCCCTCCGCTGTACTATACATACACAGTGTACTTTCAATTCAATTTAATAGAAATATAGAATACAACACCTTACAGAATGTGGTGTGTCACAGCCGAATTTCACTATCCAATTAGAGATATATTCAGATGGTTAAAAAAGTCAAGCAATGTGACACTGTATTTTCTAGATTTAAATTTAATTTATTTTATTTTCTAGATTTAAAATTAACTAGAAAACTATGATAGTGTAAGCAGAACACCTAGGAATCCTAGAAGCAGCCACCAAAATCCACATTAAAACATGTAAAAGGTTGCAAAAGTGTAGCAATATGGTCCAATATAAATATCTCAAGTGTCAAACATAATGTGATACCTGTGAAGCACTTGTAAAGGTATTTTATTTAAAAAAAATCTTTGAATGGACTAAGAGACATAATGGATCATGTAATATATTAATACTTTTACTCATTTGGGCACAAAGCTTTCAAGTCATTGTAGCTCCTCCCTTTAAACAAGTAAGAGCATTACTGAGACTGTATACCTGCAATAAGCAATAGTTTTATTGGTCTTAAACAATATTGCTGACAAGACCTATTATATTGAAAATAAAACCAAAGTTAATTTTTTTACATCATAACAGATGAGAACTATGGTTGGCATATTCATTGACAGCAGCCATACAATAATCAAATGGGTATTTGAGACAGTCCTTGATCTGCCGAGACACCCACTCAAATGTTCATCTAATTCACAGGAGTGGACACATACTAGGTTTCACCTTTTTGGTTACAAAGGTCGCTCTCCAAGGCAGTTAGCAAGTCGAGGCAGCTCATTGACTTCTGGAGGAGATGGGATTGTGCTCGTAACGAGTCTACCCACACACAGAATTGGCAAAATTAAGGGACGATGAATTTCAGAGAACTACTAGTTCATTGAATTGAAGGGATAATAAAATTTTTAAGTATATGGATAGATGGTAGTAAAGTAGTCGTTGTAGTTTACAAAGACTAGGGTCACATAACATTTCATTTTTAAATTTGAAAGTATCAGAGTTAAAACACACTGAGCATCGTGAAAGTCAAAGGGTAAGATTTCCTCCAATACCTGCGATATTCGTGTCCAACCTTGAGACAATATTCCTTTTCTTGTAATTTCAGAAGATAAATCATTTCCGTCCATCATATTTTCGATGTTTTCCTCATGGGCTTACTCCAGATAATTTGAACAAATATCGAATAAATTATAGGTTATTTTAAATTTTTCCCCGCATTAAACAGACTTACTATGTATATTTTTGATATAGCGTAATACTTCAAGTTATTTATTTGAAAACAATTTATTAGAATAAAATTGAGGAGTTGGAAGTTTGCACCAAATCATACTTAGTTAGGGTTGCCTGCTTAAATTAACACCATAGATAATATGTACATTACTACAGACTAGCAATAGGTGAGTCGAGTTAAATAACCTGGGTAAATCAAACTATTGATCCAGCTGGAATTGACTACGTAAGTCGATTTGGATACGATAATTAAGTCACCTCATCCTACCCACGGTAATTCAAGATCAGCGAGCACACTGAGCAGTACAAATAAGAACTTTTTTTATCATCAACGTGCGAACAAAATAAATTTTTAATTCATCATCAACCTGTATCTCTGCACTACTGGATGTAGGCCTCTCTCATAGTCCGCCACAATGAACGATCCTCCGCCTTCCGCATCCAATGTTTTCCAGTATATCGCCGCAAGTCATCGGTCTAACGGGCAAGAGGACGCCCAACGCTGTGCTTACCGGTACGTGGTCTTCAGTCCAGAACTCGTCTGCTCCATCGGCCATCGGTTCTGCGACACGTATGTCCGGCCCATTGCCATTTAAGCTTGCTAATGTTTAGGGCTATGTCGGTTACTTTAGTTCTTTGACGGATTTCTCATTTCTGACTCGATTTATCAAAGAAACTTCGAGCATACACCTTTTCTTAGCACGCTGAGCGACTTTAGAGTTTACGGACCAGATCTACAGTCAATGTCCACATTTCAGCGCCATATGCCACACGCTGAGACAGGTTATTCAGAAGACTGAAGAATACAATCGTCCTCTGTGTCTCGCGTTTGTGGACTACGAAAAAGCCTTCGACTCCGTCGAAACTTGGGCTGTTCGGGAATCCTTACAGCGATGTCTAGTCGATTATCGGTACGTTGAGGTGTTGAAGAGTTTATATTAAGCCGCTTTGACCTATCTAGGCCAAATTATTCAGCTAGGTAGGGCCAACTTCGAGAAGGAAGCTGATAGGCGCATACCGTTGGGCTGGGCTGCGTATGGATTATAAAAATATCGCCATAAGCTAGGTACCACATTTAACTTGAATCCAACACCTTCATTCTGTTTAAAACTGCTATATTCATATCATTTCCATTTCCTACACTAGCGCTATTTCAACGAGTCTTCCACCAATAACTTGCTGTTTACAGGTGGACACTTTTTCAACTTGTTCCCTATAAAAGATGGTGCCTCTTTCCTCTGCACTTCATACTACAACCACTGAAACTCACAGTGTAATTAATCTATGGTAGAAACAGAAAACCTGTTCTAAAGCTGGAAATTGTAAAATTGCAAGTTTCATGTTTTCATTGTAAAATGTTGTATTATAATGATTGTTAATTCACTTTAACACAGGGGACGGCCCCTTGCCCTCACACCTCCCAAGCTCAAAAAATCGATGAATCAGAATTATCGAGAATATTCCACAAAAGTAGAGTAATGTGTGTTTCCGTTACCTGACAATAGATGGCGTTGGAAATTTAACCCTATTTTGATTAGTGCCATTCTAACCTAAAAACATTAACCATGGATAACCGCAGAGTTAGGATGGTACAGGGGGTAAGCCCTTTTGCCAGGAGCTTAGTAGACACTATTGTGCTAAACTATAATTTTTTTTAGTATATAATTAAATACAAGATTATTTTTGTCTTTAAGAAATTTAATGAAGTTGGGTTGTCTAGTTACAATTTATACATTATTTCAATTGTATTTTACATAACCATAAGATTTCAAATGAAATCCAATTTATCAAGACTACAGATTAAAATATAAACAAAAAATATTTCGGTTAATATCTAGATCTAAGACTATAATTGCGAGTCTTTTATTTACATTTTTTTTGCAAGAAAATGTTCTTGTTCCATTTCTATAAAGTAATGTTAATAAGACTAAAGAAAATTTTGGTCCAACTAAGTTCTATAACTTATTGAATATCTAGAGAAAGAATTGCAATTCATTATTGCTTAATGTAACTAATTTTATGTAGTTTATTTAGCTACAATTGCCATTTACACAGTTTGTTAAATTTCAAGCATAACACTTTCAGAAGTAATGTATATTTGATTACAAATAGCCTCTGTTAAGAACAGTTTCTATGTGCCAACACTAATAATTTATTATTATACATTTCTAATATTATGTTACTTTATAAATAGTCGTAACAAATACTGATGGATTGTAACAAACTAATAAAATGCATGTTATCGAAAATATTTAACTACACCTACACTAGTGATCTCAAGACTATAAGGCGAATTTATTTATTAAGTCCTAAGTTAAAATATATTTATGTACAAAATAGGGTCTTGTGGAACATATTTTTTTAACATAAACATATTAGGTACTTAGTATTTTATCCCATCCATAATTAACATAAAAACTAACTATAATGAAGTAAAGTAACGCAAAACATATTCTATGACCACCAGATGTAACACTAGTTTGCAACGATAATGCTTAATAATAATTTATTTACACCACTAAATCTACTTAATTAATAATTTACTGTATGGAGGTTTATTTTATACAAATACAAGGCTGATAATTATTGCTTTCATTTTTTACAATTATCCTTAAGAGACAAAATAGTCAGCATTATGCCTAACAAAATAAAGACAATTGTAAGTCATAGTTAAACTTAAGGACATTTGGTGTGACATAACAACATAACTTGCTGTGTTTTGTATATGATTTAAAAATCGAGCATGATCCTAAACATAAAAATAATTAGAACCGATTTTTTTTTTGCCACAAGAACCATTATGAACAAATTGAAAAATAATATTTCATAATATAAATCATAAGTATCATCAAAACATTAGTTTTAGGAATGGCTGCCATTTCATAGTTTGATTTGCATGTTTACGGCCTAGAATGGAACATCGAATTTAAAAAGTATGGCATGTAATTTAAATATCGAAACTATGAACAAACTACATTACTTGTTATTCCTGCTGATATGTTTATTTAACTGCTGAGAAGTTTTGCATTTGATTACTGTTGTTTGATGCCACCCAGGAACTAAAGACATCTCTGAAATGTAAACAACATAATTCGTGTTTAATTATTGTTGTTTTCTCTAAAATATAAACCAAAAATATTCCGTTTTGATATACCTGCAATGGCTGACTACACATTCATTGGAGCAGTACTCATCCTCCCATTCGCTGTTTGATATCGCTGGATTTGTGCAGCCCTGTCGAATGCAAGAATTACTTCTCTTTTCATTTTGCTGTAAATTAGTATGCATATGTTACCCATATCACATTTTAAACTACCTATTATGCAGTTGACTAAGATCAACTTGTAACACTAAGAGTTTCTCGAGAATAATGCGATACTTATGTAGCATCTCATACCATTATTCCACAGTAATAGTCCACAAAGTGATATTCAAAGTTTATCTGGGGATTAGCAGATGGAAATATGTAGCTAGTATGTGGTCAAAAATGCACGTATTACACATTCACCCATCAGTGCAATAAAAATCATAAAGTCGTTCGATAATGGTTTTGTGATTGATGGTTTCATGTCAAAAAGAAGACTAGAGAATTATCTCTATTAGATCCTTACAGCACATCCCTTCCTTACATAGTATTTGAATTGCAGCTATGTTTAGGGAAATTGGACTGAAAACTTTTTTAAGAATTCATTCTTATGTGGTGAGTTTAAGGGGAAAGACCATAAAATAAATTTATCTTATATTTGTTGATAAAGCAAGGATTGAGTAAACAAAAGTTTTTTTTTAAATACATATAGTACACTTTAAGACACTCATTTCAAATCTACTTTTTATATTTACAGTAGTATTTTTTTAACATCTCACGATGAACACGATTGAATACTTACTTCGGTAGATTGTTGTGGATGCCCATTACCACTAGTATTGGGTGCATTTTGCTCAGATTTAATCGGCTGCATTTGCTGCTGCACTTGTGGTGGTTGGGCCTGTTGTTGCTGCTGGGAATTTTGAGTCTGCTGCGATTGTTGTTGTAGCATTTGCTGTTGGTTTTGTTGATGCAACAACTGTTGTTGCTGAGATTGTTGTAAAATCTGTTGCTGCTGACTTTGCTGTTGTTTTAACATTTGTTGTTGTTGTTGTTGTTGCTGCTGCTGCTGAGTTTGTTGTTGTTGCTGGTACTGCTGCACTTGATGAACTTGGGCCTGTTGCATCTGAGCATGTGTTGCTTGTATTTGCTGCAACAAAAGGAACTTAAATAGGTGGTAATAAGCTGATGGTTTAGGTGGTGTTAGTAGCCAACAATAATATCTTATAATATTACTAATATAATTGTTCCACCTTTTGCTAAAGTGAAGTGAAAGTAGTCTTCATTCTATTGAAATTATGGTAGTTTTTCAAATCGGAATGCATAATTTCTCCATAGCAGAAACAGGCCAACAATAAAATCAAATGCTATGAATATTTTAGATTAAAATAGCTAGTATAACTTTTTTTTAAATTTGGTTAAGTTCAATTACCTATCTATGCTGAAAAAAAAGACAACTTTTTTAAGCCATGAAGCTTTTTTAAGCTCAATCTATTGGATAATTTTTTTTTAATTCTTAATTGTGATTTTTGACGTCCTAAAGTCAGGAAAATATTGATTTGGTACATGTATCCATAGGATAGAACTACACAATGACATGTAACAATTATCGTTGTTATAAGTTCATAGTAGGATTTTTTATTGTGCTATCCATGCAGTTTTGTAGCTCACTGTACCTGTTGAGGATGGTATTGCATGGCAGGATGTACTGTTCCCATTGGAGGTGATGTTGCCTGCACCTGTCGGTACCCAGGTGGTGACATTGAAGAACTTGCAGGGTAATTTGTTGGTGACTGTGTGGGTTGGTAGTTTCTAGGTGATTGAGCAACATTTGGTTGACAATTCTGATTTGACGTTGAAGAGTTTATTTGATAGCCCTGTGGTGATTGGGCTGGAACATTCTAGAACAAAGAAATTGTTCCAATAATTAAGTTGTAGTATTATACATTCAGGATTGTAATAGTGTTGAATGTCTTATTTTCTGTGTAAAATTTTCAGAAAAAGTCCTTGTTTTTTCTACACCCTATGAAATAAAAAAAGAACATTATAGTAGTAGTGCTGTATGGTGGAGTCAGCCTAAAATAACCTCACTCTCGTATGAGTATTGTAATAAGGAAGTGATGGATTTCTGAGAAAATAAGCAGCAAGGTTCTCCAAGTATTGTGTATACTAGTGTACTGCAATCACCAACCAACATTCATTGGTGGTAGTATTTTTACCACCATCCTGCCCATTTTTTTTGCCAATCTCTGATATGTTCTGGTTTGAAGGGTTTCCACCCTTTCCAAACCATTTAATTAATATATTGATACTTCAAGCTGTTGTTTCAAGGTTGGTGGCAACATTTACATTGTGATGTCTTTGAGCTACCCTAATCGCTAACACTCTATGGGCTCTGAGTACTTTTGTTTTAATTTTAAATGTGTTATTGAAAGAAACTGTCACATGCAACTCATATCTCCAATTAAATTGTAACTTTTTAATGACTTGATAATTACCTGGTATGTTTGGGGAGCAATTGTCATATTGGCTTGGTAATTTTGAGGAGATTGTTGAGAGTTAGGTGGATACTGTTGAGCTGGCCCGGGATATGAGGGTTGTGGCTGACCAGGTGAGTAATTTTGCGGAGAGTATCTTTGAGGGGAAGCATTTTGCACATAGTTCTGAGGCGAATGATTATTTCCATAAGTCTGTCCTTGGTAGTAGTTACTGTATGTGGTGCCACTGTTAGTTCCACACACATTACCATTATTAGTGTGGTTGTACATTGCTTGGTTTTCTTGTTCTCCACCCTGTCAATGAGAAGTTTAAATATATATTCATTTTGGTTTTTTTCNAGAGTATCTTTGAGGGGAAGCATTTTGCACATAGTTCTGAGGCGAATGATTATTTCCATAAGTCTGTCCTTGGTAGTAGTTACTGTATGTGGTGCCACTGTTAGTTCCACACACATTACCATTATTAGTGTGGTTGTACATTGCTTGGTTTTCTTGTTCTCCACCCTGTCAATGAGAAGTTTAAATATATATTCATTTTGGTTTTTTTCTTGTTTTTATTGAATACATGAGTTAACCAGGTAGTTATTGAAATCTTTGAAAAAAACAGGGTCAAAGCTTCAGTTGTATTAGTTATTAGAGTTGTATAAGAAAACATGAAATAGGCATATTGTGGGCTTACAATTCACTCTATCACCAGAAATTATGCAAATTTTTCTATATTTTTTGATTCAGCTTTTTTTTTTAGCCACATGATCTACTAGTTCCACTGTAGATTTATTGATATGGATATCTTACAATATGTTGTGCATGCACCACCTATAAAATTATTTTTCTCAAAAATATGGTTAAATGTCTAAAGAAGCTTAAAGTAAATAAATAAATAAAATTGCTGTTTATTTTTTATTACAAATTAATCTTCAGTCTAGTAGTCATGTGTAAGCACAGTTAAGTATTAATTTTCTTAGAAAAAATTGTACTTGGCTGTGTGTTTTTACACCAACCAGGATATTCACATCACTCTACACAAGTACACAAGTACACAAGTTTTAAGTCATGAAGATGATTTAAGTGCTATGTACCAGGCATTGCTTTAACCTTAGGCTACAATAGCATTATGACAATGCAAATGAGATTTGAGAACTGAGACAACACTTTGTTTCGAAATTGGCAGCTGTATAAATATTTGTGTCAATAGGACTTGGTAGTGGAAAAGAACAGAATCAATTGGCAATTTGTAGCTTGGGACATTTAAATTAACTTTTTAAAACTACAAATGTTTTAGGTTATAAGAGAGAGAGTTATAATGAAAGGCCTTAGAAATCACATATTGAGACATAAGATTTTATTATCTATTTTGTTCCTATTGCTACGATAGCAGAACTGCCCTTCATACGAGAACACATAATGGCTTTATGGGAAAAATAGGCAAGAGTAATGTCCATCTACAATTATATATTTATTGGATTTTAGCTACATCCTTTTTTTTTAGGTAATTTAGTTTCCTACCTAATAATATCAGTAAAAAATAAGGTTTCAATACTGAATAAGAATGATGACATGATAGTACACTTATTGTTCATATTTTTTATTGCATATGTAGTATTATTCCTTTGCAGTGGGTATCAAAGGGTTGAAGATGTTAACTTATACTCAAATATAAGTTGAGATGAAGATTATATGATTTTCTTTTTAAATTGCTTTGAAAGTAGCGTACGATTCATCCGATGGTGGAGTAGTCTTGAAAATATCAAAGAACTTACCCAAAAAATTAACCTATTGTTAACATTTTGTACATAAATTAATGTGTTTAATTTATTTTTATTTATATAATATTTACCAAATCTGGAAATGATTCGATGTTGTACATTTAACACTCAAATTAGGATGTTCTCCTGTGCTCTATAATGTGGTTACCGGAAACATTCGTACCGAAGAATCCAATGCAATATTTCTAACAAAGACAGTGACTCCGAGGAGGAATCGTATCCCGAATTATTACAGTAGATCACTAACCAATATATCCACGAGGCGATACAGGTTGATTTTTGAATAAAGAGATTTAAGTCTAAGACAGAAACATAGTTTTAACACTTTTAGCTTAATTCTCCTCTCCTTTCGAATAACAATGAAATTTGTTTTTCTCATTCAATAGAGACAAACGGAACTAAGCCCAAACAGCCAGAGCTTTTATAACCAGAAAAACTGTAGCTATGCTTATCGCAAAATCGCAGTTGATAAACCAAGATTATTACGTGTTCAAACCAGAAAACACTCAACAAACAAAATACAACAATTCACGTAACCTTTTTTACTCGCGTTCCTGCAAAAAGCCAGGTTTTTGAGCCGTAATTTGTGGTTTAGAGCTGTTACTTTCTATCATTTATATGATAGTTCTACAATCTCCTTAACTTTACCCCCAAGTAAAAGTATTAATTGATTTTTGTTTATGTAATTTGTTTAATTAGGAGGGTAAAGATGACAAACCATAGTTTTGTAGTAAAAGGACAAGCTATGCTGTTCCGCTGGTATTTCCCAGGCACTCCTTTCGTTTTTATGCTCTACCACAGAACCGCACGGAGAACCCTATCATACGCTTTTTTCAAATCAACAAACACTATGTGCACGTTTTTACTTGCATGGCGGTATTTTTCGCACAATCAGCGAAGGGAAAAAATGGCGTCCGATGTACTGCGTCTCGGCCCGAACTGGTTCTGTGATACCTCATTCTTCTCGCGATCACTTTTTCCCAAGCTTTCAAACTATGTGACATGAGCTTTATTCCCCTATAATTGTCGCATACCTGTATGTCGCCGTTGTTGTTAAATACAGGCAGAAGTGAACTTTTGCGCCACTCGTCAGGCATGGCCTCTTCTTGGAACAATTTATTGAAGAATAAAGTCAGTCATCCGCTTTCAGACTTCCACAGAACTATTGGGATACCATCTGGTCCAGCAGATTTTTCATTCTTCATATTTTTTACAGCCTTTCGTACTTGTTGCACACTTATTTCCCTTACTACACCAGTATTTATCGGAACATTTTGTAGTTCACCACTCCAGTCATTCTCTTCATTCATCAACCTTTCAAAATACCTCTTCCATCTATCTCTTATTTCCTCATCATTTGTTTACACTCTTCCTGCACTATCTTTCATGCACTTAATGTGGTTAAAATTTCTTCCATCCTTCTGTCTTGTTTTGGCTATCCTATAAAGGTGTTTTTGTCCTTCAGGTCTTTCTAGTGACAATGCATCTTGTGCTTTCCTTTTCTATTTTTTCAAATGAAAATATGTTCCTGACATTTGTAACGTTCCTGCTAAAAGATTTCGTGTCCAGTTAACTCCAGTTAGGTACTATGAAACACACCCGACCGTTATGAAAGCCTTTTTTCTTTTAACCTTCCTTTTCGCTTACAGACAGAGGGACAGGAAATACTAAGTTTAGAATTTATGCAGGCCGTCCGGCAAATAAAGAGTCAATTACAAACAATAAGAAACATAAGCATGGTTTATACTATAAATTATAGCAGAATAAAAAAATATGTATCCCTAACGAAATTAACATCTTTATGTGGTGTGTTTTTGAATATTTTATTGATACGCTATTTCTTGATAGTCTAGGTTTTGTTTAATGTCTCTTATGTCTTTTGTCTTAATTCTGACATTTTAATCCTAATTATTTAACATACAATGTGAAATTTACTACATAAAATTCAATACATGATAAATTTTGCAGTCAGGCATTTGTTAAAACTCCTTACATTGTGGATTTTTACTAAATGCTGGAGGAAAAAACCACAACGCAGTAACTGAAGATATAATAATATAAAAGAAATAATAATAATAAAGAACGCAACGGTGTCGTAGGATAATTTTATTTTTTAACTAGAATTCGTGAGAACTGAGGTTGCGATTCAAATAATACTTGTTGGAGTTTGAATATGAAAGTAATGGCAGGCAACACTTGGCACATGTAAGGTTAGAGATTTCGAATATTGGAATGCTTATTTAAATGTCTAAAAACAAATAATTGTCTTCTCTTCAGTGAAGACAATGACTTCTCATCTAGACACGGTCAGAGCAACATCTTAGAGTTTTATAAAAATAAAATTTTATAATGGTGTAATAGTGTACAAAGTATTTGCAATATAATTATATTAACCATGAAGCAGTGTTGTGTTTAAATAGCCCCTCATCACCTACAGAACCTAGTCCCCTCAAATTTAACCGCCCAACAATACTAATAGCAAAGAGACGTAATTGTTATGAAGTATATAGTTATTTAAATATGTTGATACTGCTGCTACTTTTACTTCCCATAACTTGTAACGACGCCACCTAGCGACGTCTGATTTATATTGGTGATGTTTTATAATAGATGGTGCTGATTGAGTCCTTTTTTAAATTAACTATGCTAAAACATGTGTAAAGCTAGTTAAGTATTACCGTAAAACGAACGAGGAATAGTTTATTTAAATGTTTCGTTTTTATTTCAGTAGAATTAATGAACTTGATGAAGCTGGTAGGCTGTGTTTTAAGGCTTACAATGCAGCCCCCACCGTTCTTATAATTATAGACTTAGGCTCCGGTTTTTGGTGTTGGAGACAAGCTAGTTAGTTCAGTAGAGTTAGTATTAAGTAGTTAGTGGAGTACACAGACATCACACATGACCACACTTGAACATTGCTTACCACTTTCAGACATGAGGTCGAAGTCTCAATTGATGTAAATGAAACTATAAAAGTTAGATTTGATCAATCATGTCTTCAAAAAATATAAAAAAATAAAACCAGTCCTTTCAGGTAACAATGCATAATTGAGTAAATTGTGATTACAAAACTCACAATACTAAGCTTATATAGTATGGGATTACCTATGTAAAACCAACTTAAGGTTTGTTAGAATAAAGAAGCATCTCAAATCTAACCTACACATAAGTTCCTAGGTGAAAGTTATACAGACAAGGCCAAAAGGCAGTGTTAAGTCAGCTCAGATTTCAGATTGGGGAAGTCACTGGTCATTTTGGTACTAGAAAGCATCTCTTCAAGACAAACTCAGGTGAAATCTCTACATCTAAATTGTGGAGAGGTTAATTAAAGACCATGTTCAGTTGGACAAAAACCAGATTTAGCCAGCTAGTTCTTTAAGATAATTTATGTTGAATTTAGCAATGTCTGTTCCGTATAGTCCTAAGTTTAAGTATTAGGGTGGTTATTTTTCAGGCATTTTAAATATTTGTCTTAATTTTTGTATATAATGTCTAATAATTTTGCCTTTCTGAAATTATTTGACTTACCTTTGATACTAGACTGGCTCTGTAGGCAGCAAGAGCCTTAAGGTATTCTTTTTTTGCTATTTCTGTCTTTTGTTTGTAAACCTGTTATATGAAAAATATAATGAATTGAGAGTGTTCAATGTTTGTATTTGATTATTAGTAAGAAATTATTTATATTACATATGACTCANATGTCTAATAATTTTGCCTTTCTGAAATTATTTGACTTACCTTTGATACTAGACTGGCTCTGTAGGCAGCAAGAGCCTTAAGGTATTCTTTTTTTGCTATTTCTGTCTTTTGTTTGTAAACCTGTTATATGAAAAATATAATGAATTGAGAGTGTTCAATGTTTGTATTTGATTATTAGTAAGAAATTATTTATATTACATATGACTCAGACTTACACTTTTATGTTCTGAGTCTAAACCATCCCACATTGAAGCAACTATCTTTGAAACTTCCCCAAAACTAGCATTAGGGTTTTGACCTTTGATTGCTGCTTGGGTATCTCTGAAGAATAAGGCATATGCTGATACTGGCCTGTTAAAATAAATACTGTTATAGTTAATGATGTTCTGTTAATAATGAAATAAAACTTTACTGTGACTAATTTATCATACTTTTGTGGTTCATTTGGGTCTCGTTTTTTCTTTTTTTTCTGAACTTTAGGCTTTTTCTGCATCTGTCCACGGTTCATTCCATTGTCCATTGGATCAGGTGAAGTTCTTTTGACAGCCATGTTTGCAACACCAATCTGTGGAATTATGGTTTCATTACTTTGCTGTTATTTTATAAAGTTAAATTCTGTTTGTTTTCATAATAAAAATATATAGTTCATTGGCAAAATAAAGACAGTTAATTTGATAAGAATGAATGATAATATTATAGTGATAAAATTTGCCTATACCTGATGAAGCGTAGTTTGTTGCTGCCGGCTCGCTGAGCAATAATGGATAGGCAGAAGGCTTTCCGCATCACCAGGCAACTACCAACAAACAACGAATTCATTAGAATCTCTATAAATAACATTCTAGTGAATTTCTATTATGATTGCATAGTTTCAATGCCAATGAACTATATTGGTGACAAAATGGAACAACAAAGCATTCTATTGTAGAAAAGTGTGCATTATAATAACTATTAAAAAGTAATCATAGGTACTTAAAATAAGTTCTTTCATATAATTAGTATTTATGATTTTATAATAAGTTTACTGATTAAGCATGAAGTTTATTGACAAATGGTAAAAGATGAATAGTTGAAAAGGGAAAATAATGTATTTTTTACTCCTAAGAGTCAAAATCTATTTATTTTAAAATGTAAAGTGTGCATACATGCAGTTCATACATCATTCCGTTCATCATACCTGAGAATGCTGTGAAGGTACACTGTCATCTGAGTCATCACTTGTAGTGCCTGGTGGTGATGCTCTTTGTGGGGAGCCATAGACTGGTCCTGATGGCTGTGTTGGTGTACTTGGAGTCGGTGGCCCACTTATAGCTTGCGCAGGTTGCATTATTAAGAGCCGCTGTTGACCTCCAGGTTGTTGCTGAATCATATAATTGCCTGCTGGAGCACCTGCCCCACTGCAAATTTATTATTAATGCGATATCGGAACATGATAATGTATTTGTTTTAACTTAAATGTTCGTTTTTTACCTGTGTGTTGTGACAGGCGTGTGCGGCTCTTGTAAATAAAGAGGTTGTTGATAAGAAGGAGCACCACCTGGTGGGGCCAAGCCGTCCTGTGCTGGATTCATCATGCCTACCTAGAAGTGTATTAATTAGAATAAAATTCATACACATGTTCAAAGAAGTTCTTTTTGGTTACATACATAATAAGACAGGAAAATGTTTTTATTATTATTCTAGTTGAGTAGCATACGACTGTGAATAATTTAATCGACTGTTTCACACAGTTTCACAATATTAATATTTAAGAAATATTTCAAATCAATTAATCATTTTTGCTGATAAATTAACATTATTTATTTTCGGGAACTGAAGTTCTTCAAACTTTTGTGAAGTTTTTTTATTATTCTAATGACATGATTCGACTGGATTCTGGTCCTTTAAGCCAAATCTTTGCTTTGTGGCATTTTCATTTCTCAGTTGTTTGTGAGTACTATAAAAATAACTATGATAGACTAATAAAAACAGGAAATTGATATGAAATAATAATAATAATAATAATAATAATAATAATTCTGTTCGGTTGCATAAATAGTTTTGTTGTAGTAGCATAGATAAATATCAGTTCCAATTTTTTTTTTCAATTTTCCAAATCACCTTTTTAAACGAATCGAATATTTTGTGAAAACCATTTTTCATTTTCAGTCTTTTAAATTGATAAGCACATTGATTACATTGAGAGCATAGAATAGATTGATGTTTTTAGTACAATAAAAATATCAACAACAATACAATATTTCAATGCATCATATTAATAAAAAATTAACCTATTTTATGTACGAAGGACCTTAGAACAGATAAGTAACAATCGTCTATCATACTTTTTTTTTATTGCATGGATGTGTGGACGAGCTCACAGCCCACCTGGTGTTATGTGGTTACTGGAGCCCATAGACATCTACGACATAAATGCGCCACCCACCTTAAGATTACATGCTGATGATTACAGATACAACGGCTGCACCACCCTTCAAACCGAAACGCATTACTGCTTCACGGCAGAAATAGGCAGGGTGGTGGTAACTACCTGCGCGGACTCACAAGAGGTCCTACTACCAGTAATAACGCAAATTATAATTTTGCGGGTTTGATTTTTATTACACAATGTTATTCCTTCACCGTGGAAGTCAATTGTGAACATTTGTTGAGTGAGTATATTATTAGTGTGGGGGGGGGGGGGGTTTGAGACATTTGCTAGTAACTGCTCGTATGCTCCCCTAGAGAGGCCTAATAGTTCAAGAACCGCTACTTGACTTCCAATGCATTCAGTATCAGCGTTTTCTGTATCCTTTATCACCTCATTGTCATTACCAGTCGGCATTTACTGGCAATTACCTGCAATTACCTACAACGAAGTCTTACTCTCCGGTTTTGGGGGTGGGGCCGGTATCGTGGGTGGTATGGCTAGTATGGAATACTATTTAGATACTTGAGGCCGTAATGACATTGTGATGTCTATGAGCTACGGTAAAAACTTAAAACAAGGTGAGCCGTGAGGTCGCTCACTTAAAATATTAAGGGAAAAAAAAGCGGGAATTAAGTGATTGATTTCAATATTTTCCTAAGTGCACGTGTTCTTAATTTTATACACAAAATAACCGGATTAAACTTGGCTGTCGCGGGGTGAATAGATAAGGAAGCAGTATTTTAAATTCTTAATAAAATTAATATAAAAAGTCATGCCAAGAGAATATTCAGCAAATACAATTTACTAAGAGGTCAAATAATTTCGTGAAAAATGCGGATAAAAAAAAACGGTTCACTGTTATTAGAATTAAAAGAAGAAACAAGCTGAAAACTCTGTTAGCAGTTTCGCCGTCAGAACAGTAACAGTTTATTAATGGATATCACAGGTACTACACTTTTTTTTTAGGATTGAAGGATTACTGGTTGCCCGGAGGCCTTTCCAGTTTCATCAGGACAGGTGGGCGAGCAAAGGCTCAGCCAGGATGGGTGGGATTTGCTAACAGCTGTCCGAGCGCCTCCGAAGGAGACCTAACAACTCAAGAGTACCTAGCTGCTTCGCGAATGAATCTACTACCGGATCGGAATCGCTACCCGATGAGAAGATCCGGCGAAAAACTCAGCGAGCTGATGTTTTTTTTTATTGCTTAGATGGGTGGACGAGCTCACAGCCCACCTGGTGTTAAGTGGTTACTGGAGCCCATGGACATCTACAACGTAAATGCGCCACCCACCTTGAGATATAAGTTCTAAGATCTCAGTATAGTTACAAGGGCTGCCCCACCCTTCAAACCGAAACGCATTACTGCTTCACGGCAGAAATAGGCAGGGCGGTGGTACCTACCCGCGCGGACTCACAAGAGGTCCTACCACCAGTAAAAATGATTCTGATTCATGGGTTAGGTTGCACGGCGAACTCTTTGTCGAGTTCGACGAGTACGGTTACAGAGGTCCCTAAGCCTGCTCCTAGTGTTAGAGCTGAAGGCGTCTAATGCAAAGGTTATCGGATCTGATGGATCCGTAAGGACGTGTCTAGGGCGTCGACGGTGACTGGCTCCTGCGTGATCAGGATTCGGGGAGTAGTCAGCGGCGGCAACGATAAGGCGATTATCATGACGCATAGCCTTATTGAAGTACCGTTCCGACGCTGACTTCATGTATTTCTGGATAGATTCGATGCCCAGGTTATCGTGTACGTCAACGTTCCTCACGAACCACGGAGCTCCGACGGCTAACCTGCAAAAGCGGGATTGTAGAGATTGGAGGGTGTCTATGTGTGTGCGGGCCGCGTGAGGGAACACCACACTCGCGTAAGTCATGACGGGACGTATTATCCATTAACGCGCTTAAGTGTTGTACATTATTTTTTTACTTGCAAAACAATTTCACCAGTTTCACCAGGAGAGGTGGGCGAGGACGGGCTCATCCAGGAGGAGTGGATCTGCTAACAGCTGCCCGAGCGCTTCCGGAGGAAACTTAACAAATCAAGAAGAAGGAGACCTAACGGCTCAAGGGCCACTGCTTCATGAATGCATCTACTATCGGATTGAAATTGCAACCCGCTGAGATGATCTAGCGAGAAACTCAGCGTGCTGATGTATGGGTTAGCCTGTACGTGGAACACTTTGCCGAGTTCGACGAGTACGGTTATCAATTTTCTAAAGCTACTCCTGGTGCTAGAGTTGCAGGCGTTTAATAATGCTGTTCGTGGATCAGAAATAAACTTAAAATTCTAAATTATTAATGAACATTGAATTAAAAAGTCAGCGAACGCAATTTTTGGTCGTGACTACGAAAACTAAGCAATTTGGAATGGCGGATTATGGCAGAATCAATAAATGGTTATCATTATACACAGTTTTAAAGTTTAAGCTTAGTTTTAATTATATTTATTTGCTATAATAAAGTTATCGTCATAAGTTGTAATAAAAGGTAAATAAATATTAATTGATTGAATGCGATTCTTAAAAGCATACATCCATAAAGCAAAATAAAATAAAATGGGCGTAAAATTGACATTGACCATTGTCATTTTCTAGATGCGACGCGTTTAATTTACGATAACCTGTTTTGAAAATTTCGAACTTTTAAGCCCGGATGAGTTTGGCGAGCGAAGCTTTGATTCAAGTTTGATAGATGTGGAATAAAAAAATATACTAAATTAAACGATTGATTTCAGTAATCAGGTTAACGATTTTATGAAGTTAAAATGAATTAAATATATTTTTTGCGTTTCATAAAAAATAAGAGAATAAAAACACTCAATAACACCACACTTTGCCAGCAGTCCACGTTTTCACAGTGCTCTTAATATATTTAATGCTGGCACTTTACATCACAGCATATATATTATTTTAATCTACCTACGGTAGTTGTATTTTGGCATTTTAATTGGCCAAATATTTCATTTATTCGCATACTATCACAAATGCATAATATGACAATCATGCTTTTTACTATTACTTAAAAACACTTTTTTTCTATACCACACTAGTACTTAAAAACATGTTTTTTTTCATTGAAAAAATTCTAAGAATAAAAAAGTCATTTTGATACAACAACAAAAATATTTCAAAATTTACATGCTCGTAGAGAAAAGGACTATTTGTAAACTAATTTGTTAGATCGGCCACCGAGTTCATTAAGTTGAACGCAATGTGAATATCGCGCCAACCTTTAGGTTGATATTTATAGAAGTCTCAATTCCAACGGTGTAACACAGGCCCTATTTTACAATCCAAGCATGATTGCTTCCCGACGAAAAAGATGTGATGGTAGAATCCACCCGTGCGGGCTTTTAGAATAGGTATGTATTATTGCATCAAGCTTATTAAAAGACATCGATCGCATTATTTTAAGAATTAATAGTCTATGTCGGTGCCTTATCATTATCTGAAATAATATTATAGTTTCTAATGTTTATACATATTCGTTTCTTTTTTTAGTCTCCCGCTATAAATACTTCACTTAACATTCACTATATTTAAAAAATCCTAGGTGTTCGTGATCTGTGACGAGGAACTCTATATAGTACTTCAAATGTCCGAAATCGTAAAATGATAAGTGAGTTTTTTAATTTTAGAAAGCACATACTTATAATAATTTCTGCGACTTTCTTTGTGTTCTATGGATTCTCTTATCTTAGTTGTGTTGTCGTTATTTCAGTGAATCTCTTTCGTTATAGCACCAACGAAACACGACAGGTAGGTTGTAAGTAGGTAGTTTCATTTCATACAACGTGTGTGTCTAGTTCAAATCTAGTAAATATTTGGCCTTAGTGACAGCGAAACGTGGTTGACTCACTATATTCACTGCCCTTGGGCCCGTGATCTGCTCTCAACACCTGCAGATCGTTGAGTCTCACATACCCCGCGCGCCCCCTAGGCGCGGGGACCTCGTAGGAGGTTCGGCCCCCGGCCCGAAAAAAAAAAAAAAAAAAAAACTATATTCACTGCGACTCATAATTTTACATCCCAATGCTTGCAGATATCGGACAGAACACAATATTACATTAATTACGTAATTACCTTCATAAAAATTTGTTATATTATTATGCTTATATATTTAATACATTTTGCAGGAGAAGACGAAACAAATTTATGTTAAGTTCTAGGCTGTTCTTTGTTATGCAAATTAAAAACACGTGATGAATTGAGAAATTCCATCTGCTAATTTATTAAAAGTCAGTGCAAATATTGATTCTCGAATAATTCGAGAATAATTCGAGAATCAATAGTTCTTATTTTAAATTCTAATCGTAAATTCATTGTTTAATTCTTTATTCTAATAATATTTAAACTTAATTGATAATTATCTAGTTTATTTTTTATTCTAAAGTTACTAAGCCTAACAGACACCGCTTGTAGTATCCCCATGTGAGTTTTTAAAACTTTGGTTCATTTTCAAATCACAATAAAAGATACCGATTAGATAAAGTTTGGCTAAACGTTTAAGAGAGTCCACAGGCGACCCGGTTTATATAATAAATATGTACTTGAACTTAGACATACAATATAACGTGAATGCCTCTGTCCAGCTTGAAACATGAGCTCAAAGATTCTCTGACTTCAATCTTTAAATAATTTCAAAACTGTTTTGAAATCCTTCAACAAAAGTACATATTTCAAAAGTTAAATGATCTGAAAATTCATAGTTGTTCGGCATTAATAGACGATTTGGATTTGATAATGATTAGACGTATTAGATGGGGTAAAAGCAAAACCCATTTAATTATCTATAAGATAATAAAACGAACCTGCGGCGCAGCGTGGTGTAATTGTGTGTACTGAATATGCGTATTCTGGACTCCTGATCCCGGCGCATGCTGCCCGTGTATTAAAGGAATATCAAATTCTTCGTCACCAAATGAAGGAGTGTGAAATGTCTAAAAACGAGAATATAATATAAAATGAAATTGTTAAAACATTTTACCACACGTACTTGGAAAAATGTTTCGTGTTTAACTCTGTTTAAAACGTTTATTCTTTCTAGTCATTAACGACGAAGCCAAACAAATACCTGATCATTCATGGCGTACACACTGTTCTTGGCGTCGCGAGTAGCGGACAGGGGCACTTCGAGATTTTCAGGTCTCTGCAACAATGAAATATGACAGAATAATGATAGGTGTCCGTATAATATAATATGAAATTTTATAAAAATATTTCCTAAAGGACAATTCCTGTGGAATACTGCAATAGGACTCTTCTTAAGTTTGTGTTCAACAGATAATGATTTTTTGGTTTGATTTTTAGGCAGTTTACTTATTCATTCTTGAAATTCCCACTGAGTTTCTCGCCAGATCTTTTCGGTGGGTCGCGATTCTGATCCAGTGGTAGATTCTGCGAAGGACTGCTCTGGCTAAGGCTAGTGTTAGCAAATACTCTCAGTTTGAGCCCGTGAGCTCACCTACCTGTCCGGGCGTAACTGGAATAGTCTCTTAGGCTACCACCGAGTAGGTAGGGAAAAAATCTCGCAATTTCAGACGTTTTGGTAGTTGCAGTAAAACAACACAATCGAGTATCATCCGAATGTTCTTTTAAGTTCGCACTTTAAGTAGCTTTCGGCCTATTGGACAGTAGCAGTGGTTGGTCTTCAAACCTTATGGCAGAATAGGATGGGAATGAAAATATTGTATTACTGATGTTGGGGTGAAGTAACACCACTTTCTTAATGGCTGCAGTACTTACCGAAAAGCTATAGAATGGATTAGACGTAGAATTTTACAGAGTTCGTATTAGAAATACTTGGGTTAAAAAAATTTACCTATAGTATGTTTTTGTACTTAAGATGAACAGACTACAAACTCACAGTACATCTCATGTTAAGCGGTCATCGTCTATTTGAAACGTGCAATATCTTGGCGGTATAAATAGGCAGGTTAGTAAAAAAAAAACAAATTGTTTAAAAAATTGTCTCATGATTAAACAGATAATGATGTCAAAAGTTCAGTTAAAGTAAATTCGATCAATTTAATTCGATATTGAACAAGATGTTTTCCGCGTTTTACAGAGACGGGATCGAACAGTTTAAGAGATCGTAAGTAATAGCAATAACCGTAGCACATAACAACCTCGTTAAGTTCCCGACGTAATAGTTAAGGACGATTTTATTGCTTTTTACTTTTATAATATCACGACGACGCGACGAGCCCGAGGGATCGTACCTTATCCCGGCAAATTCGTTTAGGTAAGATCACGACTAACTTGTTTTAGATTGGTCGTAGTTTTTTTTTTATAAGGGCTGTCAGCTAACGAATCTCTCGTACCCGCCCAAGTCCAAATTGTACGAGTATACATGATATTTGCTTAGCAGTTTATTTCAATACCTATATCGCTCATTTTTGAAGAACTTATAGATCATAACTAACTAAATACAACATGCATGATTTCAGATGTATTACACGAATTTTTTTGCATCTCTGCGAATCTCTATATATAAAAATGAATTGCTGACCGTTAGTCTCGCTAAAACTCGAGAACGGCTAAACCGATTTGGCTAATTTTTTGTCTTGAATTATTTATGGAAGTCCAGAGAAGGTTTAAAAGTATTAGATAATTAAGAAAATGTTCGGAATTAAATAAAAATAACAATTTGGTTTTTCCTTTGATGTGTCACCCGTCGGACGGATTACTTTTGTTTGTTTTAAGTTTATTTTATACAAAAGTTTAGGTCATTTATTTATCGATTGAGGCACTACGAAGTCTGCCGGGTCAACTAGTCATAAATACAATATAAATTAAGTTCTTTTACATTAAAATTTTGCTTTTATTACCTATTTTCATTGTATTATTTTTGATGTTTCAAATACGGTTTACGTGATCACGGATTTTCACAAACACTCAAACGTACTTCGAAACGTCCGAAGCAATAAAATTAAAGTAATAAATAAATCTGAGAATAAACAATAAAGCACATAGTTTCATCACTACATAGTATAAAACAAAGTCGCTTTGTCTGTCCCTATATCTGTCTGTCCGTATGTATGCTTAAATCTTTAAAACTACGCAACGGATTTTGATGCAGTTTTTTTTAATAGATAGAGTGATTAAAGAGGAAGGTTTATATGTATAATAACATCCATTAAATAGTGGAGAAATCAATAATAAATTACAGTTTCCCAAGCGAAGCGAGGGCGGGTCGCTAGTTGTAATATAAGACTTTAATACATTTTAGTCATATCTATAAGCTTCTAAATTTGGATGTTTTTCGTTAGTGGTTTGCTAAGAATTAGATCTCTCTATGTGACAAAACTGCTTATCTGGGAGATTATTGCAAGTTCTTAGCTGAAAATTGATAATAATTTGATTATTTTTTTTAAATTGCCAAAAAGCAGTTTATCAAAATATCGTTAAAAAATTATGCATGTCACTTCGTACATGTAGTGAAAATCTTATGCAGATTACGTATCAGAGAAATTGGTATTAATAAGTTATATACATATTTGAAATATTGAATTCATTATTGACCATGAATGCTTATCGTGCCTACCGAAAAAAATATCGGTACGCATGCAGCTTGGTGCACGTGAAAGAAGTGAAGTTCTTTTAGGGTGTATAATATTGTGGTTCTTCATTTTTCATCCTTAAATCAAAATTTTCTTGTAATAGGGAATGTTGTTTATAAGAGAAACGACCTCTTCACCGTTTACATATATTTTAAATTATATATATAGAAAAAGAAAGATTTTTTTTTTAAATCCTTCGTTAAAAATAAAATATAAGATATTTATTATGTTACTGCCTTCTACAGTAGCCATGAGAAACTAATAACAAGCCATCTAGTGACCGACGCCCGTAAACAGAATGTTTTTATAATAGAAGCGACCTAGCTCGCTTTCTCCCTCTCTCAAAGGACGAGTGGTTTCCGAGACGTTCTATTTTCTCACTGTTGCGAGTTAAATTTTACTCTCAACGCGCCTAAAGAAGTTTCACTTCAAAAAACATCATCTGATCATAAATGTTTACCGCCCTTGAACATCAGAAATAACAGAGGTATTAAAAATGTCGCAGCCCGCAATTAGTTCTTAAACTTGAAGGACGTTAGAACGATGTTCGTCAGAATTTTTTTATATCTCCCTGAAAGATACATGAAGTTTAGATGAAACCAATTATTTTCTGCAGACCCAGATTCATACGTAATCAAATTGATTCTTCTGAGCTATGGGCTCACTGAGTAGTGTAGAAGCGGACACCCATTGAAAATCTGACACTATCAACTCTGACGTTATATTGTTCTAGTGACCGGATCTTATAGGAGTATCAATCTTCCGCGGCTCTCAAGTTGAAAGGTTCATTTTGATCCAATAGGCCGGTGTCAAAATATTACGGTAACCATCGTGATGAACTTCTGTTCATCACACCTGTCTGGTTGGATACGTTTGGCTCTTTCATTTTTGCGTATACATTTATGATTTTTGCCACGTACATGTACATATCAGATTCTGTAATTAATTTATCAATTTGACTCGGTTTTTTCATTCCACTGCATGTGCATATTGAAACGAAAAGGGTCCTGAGCTTTGGCAACAGAAAGTAGATAGTAGACGCCAATAGCCCTGTCATGGCAAGTATTTCTCGAGGTGTAGGGAATCCTGAACTAGCGTCTTCAATGGCGTCGCCCGCCTTAAGATACGAGTCCGAGGTCTCAAGTGCGTTAATATTTGTTAATTTTATTTTTAAATTGCACAGACACACAATTACACAATACAAGGATGAATATGGACTCATTTTTGTAGTCCTAACAAATCAACGTTTTGGTGATTAATTTTTTTGTACATATTATTATGTATCTTTATAGAGTATTGTATATGCTGTTCAGATTTCGTACGACTATTGCAGGTTGGTGCGCCAATTCACAATCCAGTTAGATTTCTTAATAATGTTGCGATATCGAGTGTCGAGAGTTCTGTAAATAAATATCACTTCGAAAAGAACTAATGGTATATAGCAACAGTGTTTTAACTCACTGTTCATTGTTTCCGCATTCCACGTTTTTGATTATGTCCTCTAAAAAGACGTCTTAAAATATACGTGTTCTGCCGAAATTAAATTACTTCTTTTTGGAATTTAAATTACCTTCTGTGAGTGGCCTCGTAGTCTACTCAACTTGGTAAAAGTAGATCAGAAATTAATCGCATAAATGTTAATGTAAGCGGTTTTAAACAGATAATAATTGATGCAGTTTAAATTCAGCTATGCATGTACTCATAAAAATAGATTTTTTTGAATTAAAACATATTTTAAATTCCGTCATTTTATATTAATTTGAAACTAAGAATGTACTTTTTAGGTAGTGTGACGAACAGAATCATTAAAGCATTATTTAAACATTGAAATTCTTTCATAAGAGCACGAGGACCGTTTTAATCGTTCCAAAATGCGATTGATCAACATTGTAATAGTACCTTGAGCCACAAGTCGGTCTCATGCCTCTCAGACCGGTTCCGTGGCACACCGGCTGCGCTCCCAATGTGCCTTTTATACACACACTAATATCGCTGGGTAAGTGAAAGGACACGCCGATAATTGCTTTCGGTGCTCGATTTTGTAATAATCTATTCGTTTATTAATAAAATATTCATATTCGGTAAAGTCAATATTGTAAGGGTATTTTGTTGTTTTTGTTTAGAAACAACTGCAATGCAATTGCAATAGTTTCTTGTGGTTACGTTTCGTAAGTTAGATTTTGAATTGCTACAGAATTAGAATTTGTAATGTAAGTTTATTAAAAACCATGGTAGCATTTCGAACCAATAAATTGTTATAATAGTCTATTATAATGTTTCTTCCATAATGATGTTACTAGTATATTTTTAGAGCGTGGAAAGTAGAAAGTTAACAAAAGTAAGCATGTTTAATACACATTCGGAATGTACACATAATTTGAAAAGTAATTGGATTATAATTTTTAAATTATAGATATAATCATCTTTTAATTATTGGAACATTGAACCGCCCTATGAAAACTTTGGAGTTACGAGCCATATGTAGTAATTCCTGTCTAATTATCTCCAATACCTAGTATTTAAAAAGTTTGATTTTGAATACGAGTTTAAATTTAATATAAAATCTACACTATAATACGTGACACCA